AAACACGTCTCTCCTATTATGTGAATTTATTGTTTCTCCCGCATCGTTTTGCTCCTGAAAGAGGTTGATGGTAGTGGTAAAGTAGCTGCAGGTGTCGTTATTGTTGCTTCATTTTGTTACTGTCTTGTCGTATGAAGTGGACGGTACTGTTGCCTCTCTCCGCCTTGAAATGACGTTTTTCTATTTTTAAAATTTAGTTTCATTAAAAGAAATAAACTGAGACGACTATCACTGAATGGAAAAAGAATTACATATCGTCTAAACTGTATAACACCGCACCCATCATTGTCGAGTGAAGTCTTTGAAACAGGGCGGTTGTCTTGCACAATGTCATTAAAATGTAAAATAAAAACGCATGGGAGGAAATGATAAGAGGCCATAATATGTACAGATGATTGTCTAATACATGTGGTTGTTTGGACAGGTTCGTCAGTATTTGCTCAGTATATTCCGTACTTGCTGACAGTTACACAAGGGGATAAAGTATTGTTTGAAATAGGATGCAGAATTTATTGGGGAATAGCATTCAGCTGTTAGTCAAATATGAATTTAAAATATATTTTGAGCAAACCAGATCTATAGTATCGGAACTTAGGGGGGGGGGGGGGGGGGGGGGGGGGGGGGGTACACCCCCAAAGTAAAAAATCGGCTCAAAATTATGGAATTTGAGTTGTAGGCACTTTTAGCTTCCTCAGCCTATCCTACAACTATTTCATCACATAAGAACCCCCCAAAACCGTATTTTTCCCCATACCAGACATGTTTTTCCCCGCCATTTCCTCATAAAGTCAGTATTTTATTTTTCTTTATCGGCCGTTTTCTGAAAACGCGACTTTTCTCTATACTTTTTTGAATAACTCCACCATTTTTCGTCCAATCTTCATGAAATGTTCACAGAATGAAGAGAAGATGTAGTACTAAACATATATTTGTTCAATTTTTGATATATGGAATAGATTTTTGTTGGTGGTGTCTGGAGTGTGGATTTTTACGGATTTTTTGAAAACTTGAATGCTACCTCAGAAAAAAATTCATTAAAAATGTTTTAATTCGTTTAGGAAAAAAGCAACATACAAATTTTTAGATCTAATGTTTGTAAACACGTATGCAAAAAAACATTTAATTTCGATGAGCGATAAGTACGGTATTCATTACGTAAGACATGTAAACAAAATCCAAAATGGCCGCCGTATCCATGGAAACAATTTTTTTTTCTCAAATTTGAATGCGAATTTATAGACTCCTTACTATGCTTGTTATATGTGTGAAATTGTGTAAAATTCGGTCCTGTAATAAGCGAGATAGCCTTCAGGTGTAGCCCCCCCTCCCCCATTAAAAGAAAATAATTATATTTGTAACATATATTCTATGTTATTTGGTACATTTGCATTTCTATGACGTTAGAACTGCACAAGGTACAGTGCCATAGAAAAGAACACTAAAATATCAATATATAGCGTCAAAGCAATGTTATGTAAAATTCAGAAGCGAGAGCTCACCGAAAACAGTTATTTTAAACAACCAGATAAAACAAAAGTGTGCTGAAAATATATTTGGGACAGATGCTGTCACGTACTGTGCTGAGAAGTAGACCGTTGTCTTTTTTTTTCTTTAAAAAAAGATTCAAACAAGACCATGCTTAGTGAAAACCAGGATGGTTTTGCTTTTCAACTACTAGACAGGCCTATACCGCTCCAGAAAGTCACCGGCTGGTGTGAGTGAAAATCTTAAAATTTAGTTTTATATATTCTTTTGATTAACTAAAATCAGAAGTTGCCAGAGGTTAATATTGATTTTAATGCGATTTTTTCTCATGTTTTTATTTTTTTTTTAATCAATCATTGGATTTCATAACTTACATAATATTACCTCTTTTCCTTTTTTCCTTTACCAATAGGTTCCTAGATCTATATTTCAGTGTAGATACATATCTACATTATTTCTTCATTTCCATTTT